AGAGTATCAATTGGATGACAGAATGCCTTGATACTAGTTAGCTCATCTATAAGAATGTGCAAGCTATGCTTGGTGTCCCCTAGTTTATCTTTCCTTAAGGGGGGTAAACAAGTGGAAGAATTTGCAAGATGAAGTATCCTATGTCCTGGATTGCGCAGCGGAAGCATGGTGGGCCCATAACCCACAGGTCCCAGGATTTAGGATGGATGAGAATGGTACTCTTCGGTTCGGTAAAAGTGATATCACCTAGAGAAGCAAAAGTCGTTGTCGATGTCCTTAGCATGAGAGAGTTTTGCTAAGAAGATTCGAACAACACCAAGGATTAAGAGTTATATTTCCAGTTCAAGCAACTTAGCCAGAAACATTAATGTTTTGAAGATTGGTAGAAGAATTTGCTTCTGACCAAGAGATTCGTCAGGATTTCATCGGAAGGTGGATATTTTGAAGAGAATTGGTATTATAGGAAAGGTGGCTTAGTGATTGGAGTTACCTAAGGGTTGTTTAAGGTACCTATCAGAATCTTGAAATCAATTGGGCAAGTTACTTGGAGTAAGATCAACATGTATGCAAAGTAAAGTGGGATCCCTATCAAGACGATGGAACTACACGATGAAGTAAAGAAGAATCCAAAGGCGGAGAATCTGCATCTCTTTTGTCGACGTCTTCTGAATCTCGAGGACGAGATTCATCTTAAGGGGGTAGAATTGTAACACCCTACAATTTGCAATCTTTTAAAATAGTAAATTTGATTTATTTATGTTATATTGCGTGCATTCAAACATAGGAAATTAATAATTTTTTGTGAAATTAAAATCAATCATAAGTATAGATACATGTTGATGCACTCATGCTGGAGCATTGTAATTAATATGTTGAGTGGTTTGATTTAAACTCAAAAGGATCAAAAAATTATTTGAAAATGGAATTGGAAAATTCATTTAGAAAAAGAAAAAAGGCTTCTTCGCTTCTCATTCCTCCCCTCTTTCTATCCGCCCGCAAGCCCTTTCTCCTCCGCCATAAGCCTCCTCCTTTTCCCCTCTTCCCACTTCCTTCTTCCTGCCAACCCTCTCAGGCGAAGTCAAGCCATCGCTCCGCCTTGAATTTCAAAGAAGCGCTGCCCAAAGACCGTAGTAACTGTCAAGCCGCCGCCCTTCCTCTCATCAACCTGCCCCACCTGGCCGTCACGCCCTCACCTCCAGTATGTCCCACGCCCACGCCTCGGTCAAGCAACCGCCACCGCGCCTTCACTTTGGACGTGGGAGCTGCGTCTCCCCAGCCTGACCGCTACAAATGGAAGCTCGCCCGAGCCGCTTTCCCTCATTGCTTCCCCGCTCTCTCTCGGCCATGCATGTAAAACCACTGCAGCAGCAGCAGCGGCTAAGGTTCACTGACCGCCCTCCGCACGGATTGCCGCCCCCGAGCCGCCTCCGTCTCCGATTTTCTCGTGGTGAGATTCGCCATGCCCTCCTCTCTCTCCCGACCTTTTCCGTGGAATATGGTGGCTTTTATGACCATTTTCGAGTGCGCATGGAGCTCCTTGCCACGGTCATGGTCGCCATCACGCGCCAACCGCCTCCACTGCCCCATTCTCACCTTTGCCGAGGTCTCCTTTCTCCCTCTATCCCCGGTGTTCTTGGATGCTCAAACCGAGGCCCGTGAGAGGCTGTTACCCAGCAGGAGACCTTCTTGCCGCCAAAGAATGGTGCCTCACCGCCGGGACACTGCTCCGCCACCAGCCCTTCTCTCTCCTCCCTGTGTCTAATCCGAGCCTCCATCCATGATCCAACCACGAGAACGTCCCAGACCTCTTCGGAGGTCAAATAGCTAAAGAGACCCTCGGTTTACATCTAATTGAACCCGCAGTCTAAGGCGTAGTTCCCCGAATGCGCATTCTCATTTGGAAAACATAAACTTCACGGCTTAAGTAAAAAATACGTTTTCAGTATTTACAGAAATGCCATTTGAACTGTTTCGTTTATAAAATTGTCGTTTTAGCTCCAAATTGATCCATTCAAATCGCGTTAGCTTCGTAATTTCATAATCTACATGTTAGAACCACTGTTAGTCAAGTTTGGAACTTTTTAATTTCTTGGTTGGATGTAATTAAATATAATGCTATAGGAAAACCCGTTTAAATCATAACTTTCGCATTTTAGCTCCGTTTTTCGTGAATTTCGCGTTGACGTGATCGTAGCGAGACGTAGATTATTTTCACAAACCTATTATCTTGTTTTCTATACTATTGGTGTACTGTTCTAATAATAGAAATGTTTGCTTTGCATGAATGCTTTTGGAATGTTGTATGTTGCCGTGTTGGTCGCGTTCAGACGATGAGGAGAACGTTGGAGATCAGGAATTCTTTGACGACCAGCAGGACCAGCAAGAGTTTATGAACCAAGGCAAGTATAGCATGGGCCTACCTTGATGTCCTATTCACTTTAATCATTTACTCATGTGCATGTGTCTAATTTTGATAACCCTAAGGACATTCTAGATATTTGATGACTTGTTTCCTTGACTCCTATGGGTTAATTGCATATGGGTAGATTGTTAGTGCTCTAACTGAATATGATCTATTTGATGGTGAATGGTTCTATGGAACTAAAGGTAAAACATGCTTTATAACAACTGATCCATAGGACGATGGTGCAAATGATTTTTGATCCTATTGCTCTCGGCCCTCCATAAGGACTTATCTGTCGGCAAAAGTTGGGACTGACAGTGCAACCGTGAGGGTCATATGGCTCTGACTTTAGCTCAGTAATAGGACATTTTCTAGCTTGTTAGAGGTTACCTTTATGGCGCAAAAGGGGCTTGCCACGTTGGATATAGGACTGCCTCTGTTCCTATGTGTATAGCCGCGATAGATATGTGCCATAGGAAAGGGGGGTTCCTACATCTGTCTGCCAAGGAAACCTAGCGGCCCTAACTTGTTAGAGAAACCTATGAAATGGCTTCATAGTGTACCCTGCCCGCTCACCTTGGCAGTGATATAGGAGTAATTAACCCGGGCATATGGAAATCACGACTCGTGGTGAATGTGCACCACCTCTGCAGAGGGTAACAAACTGTTATAACAGTCGTGCTCACGGTCACGAGCGGCCTAGAAAACTCACAGAATAGATGGCTACTTATAATGTTGTTTATACGAGATGATTATGATGATATTATGATGATGTTACATGACTCAATTGGATCGGATATATGATCATGTGGGTTTAAATGGGAGCTTAAGCATAACTTGATGATACTTGATAATAAAATCTTGACTTACTAAAAGTGCTAACTGCAGTAAACCAGTGTCAACCTTTTTGAGCCTCATGAATCCCCATGTTATCTTGTTAAGTACGGAAAGTACTTACGCTTGTTTATTTTCTTTATTTGAATAAAAATCCTGGATGGGTAACAGATGACAACGTGTATGAGGAGTTTTCTGAGGATTATTAGGCTTGTGGTCAACCAGTTGACCTTCCCTGTGATGGTGTTCCACGAGAGAGAGTTATCTTTTATTTTCCGCTGTGATGTATAAGACTAAGTTATGTTATTATCGTGATGTAAGATACACTGTGATGATACTCTTTCTTAATTTGTCAGCTTGTGTGTGTGATTGATCCGTAGGCACACATGAGTTTAGTGCATTCAATTTTATCCTTAAAATTGGGTGTGACATCTACAACTTTTATTTTAGTCATCTTGTCATTTGACAAAATTTGAACCTTTTAATTTGAAACTTTTGAAAAACGACAAGTTCGAACCAAAATTTGAGACCCAAATTGATTTCAACATAAAAAGCGATGAATACCAAAGTTGTTCAACTCATGAATATCTACAACTTTTATTTTGGTCATTTCTTCATTTGACAAATTCTTAGCACACATTGTTCACTAATCTTACACATGTCCCATATAGTTTATAAAACCTCATGAGAGATGTGTCACATTTGTGAACAATGTCGTTACCACTTTGTCATATGAAGAAATGACCAATACAAAAGCTGTAGATCTTGATGAGTTATTCAACTTTGGTATTTATCACTTTTTCAGCTGAAATCATTTGGGGAACCAAAATCTTGTCCGAAGTTGTATTTTTTTTTAATTCAAAATTTAAATTGCTCAAACTTTTCATATGTATATATTGACAAAACCAACAAAATAAATTGATAGAGAATGATTTTAAAAAATTTTAGTAAAAAATTCATCAGATTTGGAGTGAGTACGAGGAAGAAAAACTAGTTACAAAGTTGACCCACACATTAAAAAAAGAAATCACACTGTTCACTATGATCATGTAAGGATCATCTAGAACAGTGTGATTTCTCTTTTTAATCTTTGGGTAAACTTCGTAACTAGTTGTTCTTCCTCATACTAACTCCAAATGTGATGATTTTTTTTCAAAAAATTTCTAAAATCATGCTTCAGCATTTAAGTTTGATCAAACTTGGATGTGACAATGTTTTACACATTTTAAAATTTGAAATTTGACAAGTTCAAACCAAATTTTCAAACCCTAAATGATTTCATATGTAAAAGTGATGAATACAAAAGTTGTTCAACTCATCAAGATCTTCAACTTTTATTTTGGTTATCTTGTCATTTGACTAAATTTGAATCCTTCAAATTTTAAAATTTAAAAAAAGACAAGTGGGTACTACAGGAGCGGCTGGTGATTGAGCCGCCCCTACAGATTAGCCCCAACTGTAGGGGCGGCTCAGGTTATCAGCCGCCCCTACAGTGTCAACTGTAGGGGCGGCTGGGCTGCTGGGGCCTGAGGACGCCCACTGTAGGGGCGTCCCCAACCCCAGCCGCCCCTACAGTAAAAATGCCCCCGTTCTTGCTGTAAGAATCTGACGATGTGATAGTTTATCTAATATATAACAATTATTACGCATCATAAACATTACCATATTCTTGTATATATTTGTTAAATTTGAGATTTATTGAATCGTGAGAAAGCGATCAGATGGATATATTTTTTGGACGGGGGAGTATAATAATGTAAAACTATTGCACCTTTGCAGTTCCTTGGTCACGTGTGTCTTGGTAGTCTTCGAGCACGTCGGAGATGTCTAAGGCGACGTCCTTGAGCCGCTTCATCAATAGCTGCACCAGTTTCTCCTTGACCGACCGCCTCTCGGCGTCCTTCATGCCCTCCAAGTCACCGCCGAAGTTCCACAGCAAATTAGCCTGCTCCGCGATGGCAGAGCCCAGCTTATCTTTCGCGATACTGACGAAAGCGGATGGGATCTGTCCAGCTACTGCTTCCGCCATGGCTGCAGAGCTCTGAATCGCTCTCACAACAAGACTTGTGTAGAATGATGGTGTGCGCAGGTCGTCTGCGACTGCGCGAAGGACAACGATGAAGTATAATAGTATGTAGTACTCAAGTTTGATTTTTTGAACTCAAGTTTGATCACTCGTCTTATTCAAAAAATTTATATAAATATAGTCAAATTTAAATCATTCTTAAAGAACTTTTATTAATAAACTAAGCCATGACAAAAAAAATGACATTTTGCACAAAATTTTAAATAAGACGAGTGGTCAAATTTGATGTCAAAATAGTCAAACGTTTTATAATTTGGGATGGATTAAGTAGTAGTTAGTGGCATTACACACAACAGTTTTTTTTTGAGGGAATTACAGACAACAGTTTAGTTGACTTAAGGCCATATTATTGTAGGAATCTCCTGCAACTAAAAAAAATAAAACGTGAATATTTTTTTCGTGTGATATTTGTTTTGGTTTGTCCGTCTGCCCACACTTGTGATGTCCGCGGCACCGGCTAAACTTTTTAGGGAGAATCCCTTGTGTGTCATTAAAAAAGATCGTAATGCCATGTGAGTCTCTGAAAAAGTTCAGCGGTCTTCAGCGCCACTGTTGCAACTTTTTTGTGTCATCCATGCCACTGCCGTCAGTTTGGCCTCTAACGCCGTCAAAGTGTAGGTGTGAGAAGTCGAAAATACCCTTAAGTCTAAATATGTCATTAATTTTTTTGAGCATCTTAACGACTTCAAATGAAAAAACTCAAAACTAGAAAGTTGTAGATTTCGTCGAGATCTATAATTTTTATATAAAAATTATCTTCATTTAATTCCACAAAAAAATATGATTTGATATGATTAATATCATATTACGATATGGTATTAGATTGGTACAGGATGCAATTTTGCTGGCTCACATGCACATGTACACTTATATCAAATTTTACCATGCCACTAGTTAAACAAACAAAACTTTGCAAAAAAAAAGAACACCAAAGGTACTATATGTATGTATGTATGTATGTATGAAATTTAGGGGCTATTTCTAGATCTCAATTTTCTGCCATTCAATTGCAAGGTATATGTAAGATTGAATGACTATGTTGTTAACCAATTACCATAATCTCAATTCTTTCCAACAAATACAAGGACCATTCTCTTCTTTAGTACTGATGACAATAAAATCAAACAAACACAAAGAAGCCAAATTCAACAATCATCTCCCCTCCCAATAATGTTCGCTTCAATGCTTACCATTATCCAAGTTTCACTACCTCCCATGTTCGACCGTGTGCTTCCTACCACTTTTTTATTTTCAGAAATGAAGTACTTTATTAAAATTTCAAGAGCATACATCAAGTTGATACATAGTCTTAAATAAAACTTCCGGCCTCTCACTACAACATACAGAACAGATAGTCCTTTTTAGAATCCTAATTTCTGAAATAAAAAATACCTTTCATCACATATCTGCTCTTCTTCTTTGGTGCCATCGTTGCACTTGCAGGCGGTCAGGCGGAGCCACACAGCCGCCGTCACCGCGTGGGCCGTGGCTGCGTCGAGTAGTTGCGCCGCCGTCCGCCGGCCACCACGTTGAGTCGTCCCGCCGCCGGGCACCGGTTCCGCGTCGAGTTTAGGTACGAAGAGTCCAAGAGACGGAGAGGCACGGTCGCAGGGAGCAGACGAGCGTGGATCCATATTCCACCAGGCCGAGCTTCCCTCCATTGTGGACTTCTGCTAACTGAGGCCCATCATTAACCGGAGCCCACCAGGCCACCAGCACAGGCGCCAAAAGGTCCAGCGGGCTTGCCATATGTATTGACGTATTACATATGTATTTACTGCTATATTTTCGTCAAAAAAAACTACTGCTATATAATACATACATATATTTAGTATTTTGTACAGGTTTTAGGTATGGTAGCTGCCAAAATACCTGCCTCCGCCCTGGTCATGGAGATATACACGCATACATGTTTTGGAGGAAAGTCGGTATACGAAGCGATTAATAGCCTGTTCGGTTGGCTGATTCGTTTCGTTGCTGGTTCGTGAAGAAGTACTGCTGGTTGGTTTGTGTGAGAGAAAAATATTGTTCCAGCTGAAAATTTACGATCGTTTACGATAAGCCATAGCCAAACCAACAGGCTGTAAACCTTTTATTTGAATATACTTTCATGAAATCATCAGCAACATTTATACCGGCGTGGTCGATGCAACAGCTCATCCATATTTCCTCTATTGTTTTCCTGCACCAAATTCTGACGTGGGGCAAGATGTGCAAGTTGTATTGTATACTGAACACAATTACACCATGCCACCGGTAGAATATGAATACAGCTGGCCACTGCAGCCCACATGTGCATGTTACCTGCACCAAATTCTGATGCTGGCACGTGATCACAGTACAAAATGCCAGTGGGTGGAATAGTGCTGGTGCACATGGAATTTTTTTTAGAAAATAGAATAATGGCCTCTACAACCGCAAACAGTTAATTCTTACAGAGTCGTTAGCTTACTTGCTGATCTATATAACATTAGAGAGCAAAATTTCTTTATTTGGTCTCTCATCCTATCACATGTCCACATGTGTCTCACTCCTCTTCCATCGTCGCTCGCTCTAACCCTTCAGGCTTTGAATTTAGAGTTGTAAAAACCTTCATCAATACCACACTACTCATATTATGGTCTGTTAGTTGCCTGAGCACACACAAGCGGGTATGTGCTCGCCTTTCACCTTTTTTAACCTCACAACAAGTGCACGTAATAGTTACATATATTAAAGTTGAATCAATCTACTATTAATTTGCCATACATGATTAATCATTTATTAGACTGACCTGTATTGTGGGCATTGAAATTTTCTTTAAGGCCCGTTCGTTTCGCTAAAATTTAGTTTATACTAATTTGTTGTGAGAGAAAACTACTCTACTAAAGTAGTGCTACAGAACAGGGTACGAAACCAAGTGGGGGGCATACCACCGTACCCACCCCCATCAAGTTTGAAATCCCCCACCCCAAGCACCCGCGCCATCACCCATGTTAGGTGCATCATATTCATATATATACTGAGAACTTAAGCCGTCAAACCCCTACACCCGTGCACTGGTGTCAGTATTTGACAACTAGAGTTCTCTGTGTATATAAGGGGGTGTTTGGTTCTTTAGCCGCTTCTAGAATTCATGTCACATCGAATGTTTAGGTATTAATAAAGAGCATTAAATATAGATTAATTATAAAACCAATTACATAGATGGAGGCTAATTTACGAGATGATTTTTTAAGCCTAATTAATCTATCATTAGCACATGTTACTGTAGCATAACGTTGCCAAATCATGGACTAATTAGGCTTAAAAAATTCGTCTCATAAATTAGTCGCAAGTCGTGTAATTAGTTTCATAATTAGTTTATATTTAATACTTCATGCATGTGTCTAAATATTCGATGTGACAGAAATTTTAGAGACTTGTAGAAACCAAACAGGGCCTAAGGCACATAGCACACTACTACATTCTAGACCCACCTATTGTTTGCTACTAGGGCCTTGTTTAGTTTCCAAAATTTTTTGCCTCCTACAGTAAAAGAGCATGTTTGGACACATGCATAGAGTACTAAATGTAACGAAAAAAAACTAATTGCACAGCTTTCGGTAAAATCGCGAGATGAATCTTTTAAGCCTAATTAGTCCATAAAAAGCCTTAAGTGCTACAGTAACCCACATGTGCTAATGACTGATTAATTAGTATCATTAGATTCGTCTCGCAGTCTTCTGATGAGTTCTGTAATTTGTTTTTTTATTAATATCCAAAAACCCCTCCCAACACCCTTCCAACACATCTAATGTGACGTCCAAAAATTTTCACCACCTCAACTAAACACACCCTAGGTCCCTCGTCGGATAGCAGGCATGGGGTACTAGGGAACGTACCGTACCCCCTCTACTTACCAGATGGAGGAATAAATGCCCCGGTTAGCATACCCATATTAGGGGGTAAAAGGCCCTATACCTATGCCCTAATAGGGTTTTTACCCATTGGGTTTTTAGGTTTCGATATCCATTGCCATTTCTACCCGTGTTGCATGCATTCGGTTGGCAATCATGGGGCCCTACAGATCAGACATGAGTCGCCTGCCAACCAAACTCTCATGGGCTTCTATTGGGCTGCCAAGACGTATTTGCTAAGTTTTTAGAATACATTTAGACATTGATTACAAAGTTATGAAAATTTTCTAGATTTTCTTGATATTTTTCCTCATTTTCCCAGAGCCAAATCTAATTTCTTTAAGCTTCTAGATAAATTTTCATGAACTCTAAATATTTTACTTGAATTCTTCATATCACAATGTGTCTCTATAACTTTTTCAGAATTTTTAGAAGGTCAAAGACATTCCATGGTTTAAAACCCTTGTCAATTATTTACTATATTATTTTCCGGAGCGACTAGCGTCCGGACGTCCGGACGCTGCGTCTGCATGGACGCTGCTCCTGCACGGGACGTTGTTCCTGTGCTAGCGCCCGACGCATGCCCACCCACGCCCAACGCACACTTCGCGCCCGTTGCACGCCCCGAGCTCATCCCTGCACCGAAGGCAGCAATTGTCTGGACCGACCTTCCCATGCTTGTGCCCAACGCACGTAGAATGGAGGCCCACGCGTCCCATCCCGCCCGATGCGCCATGTCTGCGCCCATCCTAGCCGCTCTCGTGTCCGCTGCCTCCATCTTCGCCACACCAGGATGCCACAACAGCTGGGCCACCAAGGGATTAGGCTTTCTCAACACCTACATCCAGATCTAGTTTTGCAACACTCAGATGAAACAATTGCAATATACGCATGAAATAGAAGAAACATTCGGAACATACACTTGCAACATATGCAACATCCAGATAAAACATTGCAACATATGTCTAAAAATATATGAAACACTTGAAACATGCTCTTGAACATATGCATGTATAGCTATAGCAACATATGCAACATCCATATCTAGTTTTGCAACATCGAGATCTAGTTTTGCAACATCCAGATGAAACACTTGCAACATAAGTCTGAAAACATCTGAAACATTTGAAACATACGTGTATAGTCATAGCAACATATACAACATATAGATGAAACACTTGAAACATACATCTGAAACTACTGAAACACTCGAAACATAGGCTTGCAATATGTCCGAAAATGCCTGAAACACGGCATCGCCAGCGGTCACGGCCTACCTGGTGGGAAACTGTGGTAGCGTAGGCCTTCCCTTCCTGCCGACGACGCGAGGTGGATGGGGCCACAGGCGCAGGCCTCCCCTGCCTCCTCTTCTGCAATGGGCAATGTGGATGAGGGCACGGGCGGGAGCGAGCAAGGGCCCACGGGCAGGCGAGGCGCGAGGCGCATGGACCCTGTGAGGCGCACGGAGGAGGTGCAGGTGACGCGACGGGGCACGTGGAGCAAGGGCCCAGGCGGTCCGTCGGATGCCCATGGCGTATCATTTCCATATTATTTTTTAACTAAAGAAAAATACAAAACCATCTTCAAAACCACTCTAAACTAAGCTCAAGAGATAGTTTGAACGGTTTTGAAAGTTCACGAAGGTAAGATATTTGGTTTCGGAGTTTAAGAAGAAAAATCAGACTACAATGATACTTAAACTTTAAGAAATTAAAATTGACTTTTTCCTATATACCTTTTTATCTTCTTTTTTAGAATTAAACAGTACAACGCAGACGTCCACAATACGCATGCACACTCACCACTATGAACACACATATACCTTTTTATCTTTACGCACAACAGGCCACAACAAAAGCCCATCCGTCCGTGCTCCCTTTCCTTTCTTGCGAATAAGCAAGGTATAGTCCCGCTCCTTCCAGCCCATGGGCCTTTGCCCTGTTCGTTTGGCCTTGTTTGGCTGATAAGCCATTGCTGAAAGTAATGTTGGCTGATTTAGTGTAAAAGAAAAATACTGTTCGTTGACTGAAAAAGTACGGTTTATAAGCCAAACACGACCAAGCGAACAGGCTGCTTAAGCACTGCCTCCGTATGCTGGTAGCACGCACACTAGTCTTTATGTGAAAGGGCCTGTAGCCCCGTGGTTACAAGAGGCTCAATAACATCTTATGTCCTGGGTTTGACTCCGTGTGGGAGCGAATTTTTAGAATTTTGTTAAAAAAAGAATTTTTTAGGATTTAACGACGTTGTGCTTTCAGTGGCAGACGGCGCAGCGATACGTCTAGGATGACTTCGTCAATCAAGAGAATTTATGGGCCCAGTCATAAAGATACTCATAGGAGTAGTTTACGTGCGTTCGTAGAGATGAATATATGTGTGCGTTGTGGGTGTCTGGGTTATAAGGTGTAATTTGAAAGAAAAAAAACATACGAGTCTCTTCTTTTTTTGACACGAGCAACATTCCCAAGCGTCCGATGGGCTGGGCTGCGTGCCCCGTACAGTTTAGCAGAATGTCGCAGTTCACAACTCATAAGCCGTTACAAACTCTCCTAAAAAAATACAAGCCGTTACAAACACTCCTCCGAACATCACAGAACAAATGGCAAGCACTATTTCTTCAGAATCTCTTTTTGTTTTGTTTAGTGTTTTCTTTTCACGATATTGAGGTGGAGCGCAATGGTTGTCTTCATAATTTTAGCAATGTTCACTCACATCTGCCTTTTCCTTCTTCTACCCACAATCCGGTAAAATACCGGTACTCGATTTCATAAGAGTCGAATAGAAAGGTGGGCTATCTTGACTCTTGAACCTGAGAGGCCTTCTTCAATGTATTTGGCAGTTTTCATAATTTAAGGGACGTAGCCCTTTTTCTCAGTCAAAATAAAATAAGTTAGATGCTGTTTTCCCAATGGTTAATGTAAACATGAGATTGTTGGTGTTAGTACGTGCAAGAGAGATGAACTTTGGTGAAGGTAAACAATGGGGTTGCTTGATTGCACAAAATTGAGTCTACGTTCCATTGTTTACCCACACATTCCAGAAGTCAGTCTACCATTACATTTACATAGTCATTCTAACGACATTGTTTTGCTACAATCTGCATGTTCCAGAGCTGAACGTTTGTACCATATCCATGCCTTCGAGATTTTGTTGCGTCCATACTATGGAATATGGATCAGAGGGAGAAAGCAACAGTTTAGTCAATAAATTTTCTCACACTTTACCAACAGAGCTCCAGACATCCACGAACCATATATCCCCCTGTTAGTTGCTCCATGCTTTTTCTACACCTCAAAACAAATGGATGCATATACTTACACTGGATTACCGAATACGAGCTAGTTCATGAACATCTCAGCCCATTCAGGTTCTTGAAGCAGGCAATTGCCACCGCCTCAATAAAATCAGTGTTAGAGCTGACTTGTGGCAAGCATTTAGGGAGGCTTCATGCCCTGCCATAGACAACAAACAGTTGACATTTTATAATTTCCACATTTGCTAGCCAGTACATTGATTCTAAGTGCGCGTTGTCTTAACAAAGATCATGCTTCTATTTTCTGAAAAGCGAAAACAAAAGAAGAGAGGTACCTGGAGGCCGTGATTTAGTTAGGCAGCTATAGCCATTCTGCTAGGGGTTCCTGGGCTCTGCATTCTACTATGAGCAGATTTACCTACCAAGGACAAATGAAATGAAGTAAAGAGTTTTAGTAACCACACAGTTTAAGGAAACAACAAATTCATAGTACGGGTAAAAGATGGGACACATCAATTGAAGAAACTTCATGGGTACTAGACTTCCAATCAATATGAGTCCTACAAAAGTTGATACCAAAACGATACTACTTGTGCTGCTAATCACAGCTATACTAATATTTGGTTTCACCAAAGCTAGCAGTATATTAATTCATTTTTCCCAATTTCACTGATCTCAAAACTTCCTTTGCTTGTTTGTTTTAATTATTAAAATATCTATTCAACTAAAATTGTTGAGGTTATGTGCATCAGTATTTTCTCACCTCGTTTGTCTGGCCGCCTTCTGCTACGCCACAATAACCGAATAGGAGTGCCTGGAAATCCAGCATCTGACCGGAGTTTCTTTTCCATGTAACGGCGGTATGTATCAGGGAAGAGCTTCGCATCATTTACAAATAAAACAAATGTTGGTGGACCAATGGCAGCCTACAAATTAGCAATAACTTTCGGTCAGATCCAGAAGAATGCACAAGTGAGTTTAATGATATTAGTTTTGAAATATATCTGAAAGCAGTAAAAAGATTTCGAATCGCTAGCTTGAAAAGTTGAAATCTTCTCTACTGAGCTTCTAGTTATTTCTAGATACTGTTGTTCCTTTATGGTTGAATTAACAAGATATATAGGCCGATGAGCTGGATCAATTGTTATATTGGAATTATTTAAGAGAAATTCCTATAATTTTCATCTGAATATAACAAATCTTAGAAATACCATTAGAAATAATCTTTGATTCTTCCTGTACCACTCCTTTTCAAATGGTTGCCTTTATTTGCACAACCCAACTCAAAATCTCACAAGCTGCCACAACATGGACACCTCTCTCCTGTTTTAAATTAATTAAAAAGTTGCTCACTGTGGGGATCTCCCCCACAGTCTTTTCGGTCAAAAAAAAAAACATGGACACCTCGGTGGTGGGCCTGTGCCCTGTGGTCACACATTGCGTTCTCCCAAGATGCCCTTGCGACCTACAAACCATGGTCGGTAATATTACCGAGCACCATCTACCACCATGGCTTGTCTGACATGCATTGATGTTTCCTAGAGCCTCTGCCTCCAATAAGTTTCCCTAAAGAAGTAACCTCATCTACCTTTATCAACAACCACGAAAAGGAAGCTGGAAGAGGAGGAAGTGGTATCGTCTTCAGAGGAAAGTAACCTCCTTATCCTGTTCTATATGCAGGTAACTCTTTAAAAATTCATTGGGCAGATCTGCAACATTTTGGTCTATGAATCCTTGTCCGATACAACATATAGAGAGAAGAGCCATGATATGTGAACCCAGAAAGGGAAAGACCATTTTTTGTTAGGAAAAACTAAAAAGTTTTCAGATCTTAACAGTTGAGCCTAGAGGAGCTGGCAGCAATGCAAAACAGAGGTGTTCATTAGGAAAAAGTGTCACTGAAAAAGATTTAATTTTCAGCGGCATTTCAGGGATCTAATTATCTTTGGGTGGCAAAAGAAAGATGGTTCCTATATCTTCAAATACTCAGACATGTTTTGAGGATTCTTGTTTGATTGTTTTGTCAGCAAGCTGGGAACTGTAAACTTGATGGTAGAAAAAAATGAAGTAGCGGCAATTTCATCTTGTATTATGAAGATGGTATCATATACACAGTAGCTTATTAAAAACAAGTTTGTTCTCTTGAGAACGAAGTTAGGAAGTTACCTGTGTTGTATAATAGACACGACCTCTTTTGCCACCTCTTGTTCTTGGAGGTGGTTTGAATGCTATAGCTTCTCTAATAACTTGATTAAGAATGGAGGTGCCGAGTCTTCTAGACCTTTCCTTCTCAACCAAAGCAGCAGCAGAAATTATCCTGAAGACAATTTAGTACAGCATATTATAGAATATGAACACAGGGAGCGATATCTTGGGAAGCTAACCATCATAAAGGGGTTATACAAAGCAGGTGTTTATAGATCACAGGTAACAGTAATGCGCAACTAAGAATGTTGAGGGGAAACAAAAGTTATCAGATTTAACAAAAATTTCACAAGTCTAAAAGAAACAGAGATACAGGTAGATTAGGGTATATGAAAATGAAGAGTTTACTTTTCAACACTGGCGCCACTAGTCGCAGAACAGTAGACAATAGGTGCCCAATCAAGTATGCGAAGCTTTTCTCTTACATCTTGTTCATAATGTGTTGTACTCTCATGGTTCTTGTTTGGGATTGTATCCCATTTGTTCACAACAATGACACAAGCCTTTCCTTCTTTCTCAATCCTCTCTGCAATTTTGTAATCCTTGATACAACAAGAGTTCATTGTGTTAAAATGAACATACAAGACAATCATGTCTCTTCGTGGGTCTAAATATACATGTGTTCGTAGTTAACATACCTGCTCTGTAACACAGGACATTGCTTCAATAACAAGGGCAACCACATCAGAGCGCCGAATTGCTCGAAATGCGCGCTTTACCGAAAGTGATTCTGTTGTGCTGCCAGCAGAAATAACTGCTGCCCTGCGCCGGATCCCAGCAGTATCAATGATTTTGTACTTCTGCAGCATATTTGAGCAAATTATTGTTATATTCCTGTGAAAGAATCAAGCTTTCTAAGTCACAATTTTATTCTGTTAAGTGACCATAATTAGTGTGGTCAATGGAACATTGTAAAAGCAATAGAATTAATTAAACATTAACAGAAGTGTTGGGAACAGACCTCCCCATCTGCTGTAGTAAACTCAGTGTCAATGGCATCACGTGTTGTCCCACTAACTGGGCTCACAATTGTTCTATCTTCTCCAACCAAAGCATTTAGAATGCTACTTTTCCCCACATTTGGTCTTCCCACAATGGCAATAGCAGGAACCTTATTTTTCTCTTCTTCAACTGCTTCCAATCCCTGCAATACCCATGAGTTACTTTAGCTATGAAATTGACAAAGTATTAAAGTATCTTCACATAGAAAATAAAAAGGAAAGAAAAGTCAGATATTCAAGAGTTTTAAAGATATAAATTTCTGAAGCAAGGTTAAGGCTTAGTCAAATAGGACAATTCCTCACAAGCCAATGGGTAAAACCTAAATCCGTAATATGCCACTCTCAGTTAGTGTGGGGGTCCCACATGTCGTAGGCACATGAATAGCATATGACTCTATGAGGGAGTATGAGTTTTTCCGTTTGCATATAAGAAAATTCCCTTGATATACTTGATAAATCCATGTGGGGTTTCCACTCTGGTGCATTTTCTACTTTCTAGAAGCTTTATCTTGTTTTCCGATATTGTGGGATTAAGCTAATCAGCACACCGAACAGTACCAAGCCTTCAATTATTCTAAAATCTTCTATATCAATTAGCCTTTTAGTAAGTAACTATACTTGTTTTGCTTCGATTGTCAAGTGCCATGTAGCTGCGCCACTATGGTCATATTGTCCAATCTTTATTCATAAATATTTCATTAGCATTCAGTCATTAACAGAAAAAAGCATTAAGCAACAAGTGTTTGGGTAAACCAATTTCCATACCTCAAATTTTCTCAGCTCTGAACACACCTGGTCAAGGAGATCTCCAGTTCCTGTGCCAGTAATAGCAGAAATTGGCAGAGGAGAAAACCTAGCAGGAAACAGCAGAAAGATGAGATGAGCAGCTTGGCTGACTAATGGGCAGTAAAAGAAAAGGCAAACCATCAACAAAATACAGATGTCCCTGTTAATATGTCCAGTTGCTTTAAAATCACAGCACAATTGGAGAATTGCGTACAATAGATTCTAGAAACATTTTGACCTTAGAGGGTGTTCAAATGAGCTTACGATGTTAAATTCTCGAAACAGTTTATTTCTGATTCATAATTTACATGAAACAACAGCTACTAGTAAGTATTTTTACTTTTTCCATGCGTGTTGTTTGGCTTTTGTACTTGAGCAGTGCTGCAATAAGCCATATCTAGTGTCATGTTTTAACTACGATTATTGTACAAAGTATCACATAAAAGAACCCATACATTATTGTACATATTTTGAAATGAATAGAAAACAATACGTCATTTTAGAGAGGCAGAAATATGCTCACCCTAGTGACCAAAAGTCTAATGCTTGCATTTGCCCTTTCCGTGGGGATTCACACTTATTGACAGCAAGTATAACACACTTGTCAGAGTAGTTGCGTCGTAACCAATCAGAAATCTCTATATCAGCTGCCACAAGACCAGCCTGAAATATGTTTTCACACCATTATCCTAAAACTTACATAAGAAATTATAGATCAACAATATCTGGTCAAAAAATGTTTAAGGGAAGTATTAGAAGTAGATCTATTTAAGGTCGATGTGAATTCAAATATTAAGCAACCACTTCCCAGAACTGAAAAGAAAAGGTAATTGCCTAAACCTGCCTGACCATCCACGATGAATAGTATGACGGATGCTTCATCAACAGCTGCAACTGCTTGTTTTTCAATCATTGATGGCATCCTTGCAATAGCAGCTTCTCTAGTAGCGAGAGGAATCCCATCCATACCAACAGTAGTGGTGACAGCAAGTTCTTCCATCACACCTGCTTGAGACTTCGACAAAGTAATTACCCCACCAGTATCAATAACCATAAACTCCTGATCACCCCAATAAGATCGTCCATACAAGCGATCCCTTGTCACACCAGGTTCATCAACAACTATAGCCCTATTGCCCTGAAAGAAATCATAATTCAGTTTACTTCTGCATTCTGGTCTGAAAGTTGTATGGTGATCAATAATGCAGGCACTACTCTGAGCAATGATTGACATACTCCGACAAGACGATTGAACAGCGCAGATTTACCAACATTCGGCCTCCCAATAATTGCCACCTTCGGAAGAAGGTTATCTGGAATCTGAATCATGTATAGGCCAGTTACATCAAAGGAATACTTTTTCAGGATTTGAGTTCTTCATTCAGTAGAACAGCAATGTATATATACTGACATGTTTAGACACAGATGTCTTATCCCTGATGTTTCTTCGTTTCTCCCTGACATCATCATCTGAAATGTAATTATTGTATGGATTACTGAAAAATGAACTAGTGCACAAAACAGTGGCTCTTATGAAAAACAGACAGAACATTTCACTCTAAAGGTTCTGTAACAACAGGACGAGCCGGGTCTCACGAGGAACTCACCGATGTGGAGCTCCCGAGCGAGGCGTTTCGCGAGGTCGGCGGCGGCACCGCGGGCCTCCTCCTCCATCGCCTCCACGTCCATCTCCTCCTCATCTTCATCCACCTCCCACTCCTCCTCCTCCTCCTCTTCGCCGTCGTATTCCTCCTCCTCCTCTTCATCGAACTGGTAATCAGCAGAGATTTTCTGCGCGGCTGAAGCGCGGAGTCCAGCGCCGCAGCGGCGTGCGGGCGCGGGGAAGGAGAGGAGCAGCGGGCGCGGGCGCGGCGCCGAGGCGGCGGGCGGGGACCTGTGGTGGAGCGGGCGGGAATGACGAGGCGCCAGGGTTTTGGAGGGTAGGCGAGGGGGGTGTGAGGAGGAGGCGGAGGAGAAGGGCGCCATGGCGGCCATGGCGCTGCGGCTGGCGGCGGCGGCGGGGAGCAGAGCAGCGCAAGCAGTGTGCGAGCGGGCGGGCGGATAAGGGAGTGAATGCGAATTGGGCGTGCCGTTATTAACGGACGGCGGGTAGGGTGAGTATGGCAGGTGGGGCCGGGATGTCAGGAAGTAAGGGAGATGGGACCCAATCGAGGAGTGGCCGAGTTGTCTGTCTTCTGTCGTAGAGAAAGATGCGATTTTGGTGCCGTGTTTAGAAGAGCCATGATTTGTTCTTAAAAAATCCAAATTTATTAGCTTTGGTAAAAAAATTTCAAAAAAAAAACCGAACCGGCAGGAGTTCGAACAAAAAAATTTGGATCCAATCAAACACGTATGTATTATCTTGTGCTCAAGTATATCGTCGAATAGCGAACCAATTTAATTGTGATTTGTCAGCAATGCCTGCAAGAAAACAGATAATTAAAGGGTTTTACGCAGCTGTTTATTCCACGGCGTATAAATTAATTAAAAGTTTTGCGCAGCTGTTTATTCGGCGGCGTGAAGGGATTCGGTGCAAGAGGTATAGAGTGGCTTTAGATGTTAGGTGTTTTCATATGGTTTTATGTAGATTATTAACTTATGGAGCGCATATACATTTTAGCTTTAGAAGTTAAGTTACTACGCCCAACCAAAAAAAGCTTGATTGATATTGATTATTCAAATTTTAGCGTCGATTATATATTGAACCAATCTACAGTTCTTCTCATCTCGGTGCAGGGTAGAAAAGCACGTTGTACAGATTTTTTAGATTAATTAGGAGTTTGGTTAACGTCAACCCTCGCAAAGGGTACACATGCTGGCATGCATAATAATGGTGTACGTGGTGCATTATCTTGTCTTGTATTCTTGTTTAGGTTAAGAAATAAATACGCTTTCTCAGTGACAATATAGGACATGTTTTTGGAACGTAGAAATTTGCATAGGAATTTTACAGGAATCAATTCAACTTATTAGAAAAAATGTGTGATTATGGAACAAAAAAAGTCCCAACTTTAAAATGGGGCCTAAAGTGTTACTCGATGCGTCCAGAAAAGAATATAATTCTAGCACAGTATCTTAGTTTAGTATCTTAAGTTTGATCAATTATAGATAAAAAGTATCAACATTTATGATATCAAATTAATATCATTAGATTGATTACGAAATATATTTTGATAATAAATTATTTTGGAGCCGAAAATATAAATAGTATTCACTAGAAATTTAGTCCAACATGAACTACTTTTACTGACACGTAACCCGTGGTTGCATTCTTTTATGGACGAATGGAGTACTTGTCATTGTCAAGGAAAAAAAAACAATTGATTAAATCTAGGGGCTAAAGTTTAGGGGTGTCACATCAGATGTTACATGGGAGTGTTCGGATAGTAATAATAAAATAAATTACACAAATCCTCAGTAATTAGCGAGACGAATTTATTAGGCCTAATTAATCGGTCATTAGCACATGTTACTTAGCACCATATTATTAAATCATAGACTAATTAGGCTTAAAAAATTTGTCTCGTAAATTAGTCGCAATCTGTGCAATTAGTTTTTTAGTCTATATATTAATACTCCATACATATGTCAAAATATCCAACGTGATAAGGACTCAACTTTAGGGAGAGGAACTAAACAATGCCAGTGGTGTTTAAATCTAAGCATTAAAGTTTAGGGGTGTCATATGAGAGTGTTTGGATAGTAATAATAAAATAAATTACACAAGTCCTTAGTAATCCGCGAGACGAATTTATTAGGCCTAATTAATCCATCATTAGCGCATGTTTACTGTAGCACCACGTTGTCAAATCATGTACTAATTAGGCTTGAAAAATTCGTCTCACAAATTAGTCGCAATCTGTGTAATTAGTTATTTTTTTAATCTATACTAGGATTGTGCCCGTACGTTGCTACGGAACAGCTAAACTTTTATCCTAAAAACACACGGATCGCACGATAAAATAACAATACTGTAAAATTAAATATCGATATTAAAGTGACATTTAATCAAAAAGTCAAAGTCCGTGAAAGAATTTAGGTGGTGCCTTAGTGCCCGTTCAGACTTCATTAAAGTGTTCTTAAGTGTTAAATTTATGGATCAGAATTTTTGCAGTTATCAGTAACATCAAAATCATAAGGCGCCTAAATGAATCACCCGTTCATACGTCTCATGATAACAGCCAAATAAGAAATAACTCATATATAATGCTATCAGTTGTAAGCATGCGAGTAATACTCTGTCTATTTCCAAGTTCCAACCAAATTAATACTGCCACGGCATAGGAGAGGGCATGCACAATTAACATCAGAAGCATGTAAAAATAAAAAGGGCATATACATAAAGCATTACAGTCTCTGTAGCGTACATTGGTCCAGTCCCTTCAATAAATATCAGACCTTCATCTGAAGCTCTATCCATAGCCTATAGCCACATGCTGCCACATATTAAGGAAATTGCAGCATTATTTCAAGCCTATCTAATAGGTTTTCACCAGTAGAGAAAATCAACTTTTTATTAGAAAAGTAAGAATAAATAAGGACATCGTGATGACAGGTACCTTTTCGAGTCTAGTGATGTAAGATCTTGAATGAACACGTGCAACATCATCTAGAGAAGTAGGGTTGAAATTTTGAATTTCAAGAACCAATGAACCACGATGCTGAAAACTAAACAAATGAAATGACATTTAACTTATGAGTACTCGTCCTTTTCTAGTGAAATGCAATTGTACATGGTATAAGAAAGAAACATGCCAAAGCCCCAGAAGGTTTGACTAAAGGCAGAAGGAACTATTGAAACATAGTGAGATAAGACAATATCCTCAAGTTGATTGCACATCCTATTTTTTTATATGATTTAATTTTAGCATGGTTTCAAATGAAGGTAAAATGAAAAAAATAAAGGTGTTTTTTAAGATCAAGTTCCAAAAAATAATTGTGAATATTCGAAGTAGTATTGTCGATATACCTTGGGACTAAGCTCCAATTTCTCAAGAGCATCAACTATCGTAAGAACTCTTTTGTTAGATTCTGGATGTGCTTCCCGAGTACCAAAAGAAGTGGAAAATATTATGATATAATGCACAGTGCAGATGAGACAACTTATTATATCGTGATTTATATAGTTCTATGTATCATTTTTCTCAAGAAATTTGTTGCATAGAAAGGTAAAGCATGGTTGTTAGTTAACACCAACCATTTATATAGATGGTCTAGAACTATTGTATATTGTTCAGAAACTCAGTGTTTAAGTTTTCAATCTTTTTTTCAGCAACTCAGTATTTACATAGATGGTCTAGAAGTCAGCCAGAAAGTACATGCTAACCTTTTTTTTCCTTTTGCATAGATCAATAGTGATATCCAAAACAAACGCTCGCAGCACGGAGAAAAAGAAAAAGCCCTGGCCATTATGCTGCAGGCATCTTACCAAATGTTGAACCAGCAACAAAAGAACAATACTACGCTCATCAACCTGATAAGGGAAAGCCCAAGCCCCTAAAGAGAAACCCTACTAATTCTCGATGGAACGATTATAAGAAAAATGATTCTTGCATAATCCACATAGGTCTAGGCAATAAGCAAAATGAATGCACCAACCATGAATTTAAGAACAAGATATGCAAGAACCTCATAATGATTGGAAGAAACCCCGCGCGTACCATTCGTCTAGGTCCAACTCCAACATCTACATCCTCCTTACGATGCCGCTGCTGCCGCTCCACCTTCCTCAACCCAACTAATGACCTGAGCCACTTCGTCGAGATGCCCATCGCGCCGCCACTCCAGCCGCCTTAACTGCAGTAACCTAAAGACATAAATTTTTCAGTTTCTGTTAGCACCAGCACAAACTGCAGCACAATGTCACAGGACAGAGGGAGAAAAGGAGTGCTCACATTACTTATTCAGTCCAAATTTAGCCAAGAACTCTACCTGTAGATCAGGGGATGCTAGGGGCCACCTGATGTTCTAAATTTTCAGCATCAGTTGTATCACATGAAACTAACAGCTTCCTTCGTCCTATAGAATGCTTGTTGGAAGTGACGCCAACTGCGCTTGGTAACAACATAATTATATTAATCAGGTCCAGTTAATGCTCCTATCCTAATAGTAAAAAATCAACTTAGCAATAGAACATTCAGAAATAACATTTTAGCACAAAAGCATATATTTGCAAGCAGAGAGGCAGCAGAAACACCTTCAACAATTAAATGACGGGTAAAAACCAACCTTTTTACAAATCAGTGTCAAAATAATTAGAGGGCTAATAAGTATTGAGATGCTAGTAATGCAGGAAGTACTCACGGCTTAGCAATCTTTGTAAAATTTCAATCCTAGGATCAAGGCCTTGAACAATACAATCTCGAACTGCATAAAAGGGAGAAAGCATGAGTAAACTGACAGCATAATAACAATTTCCTTATAATAAACATGTAAACTATTAGACAATGAAACTTGAGAATGCTCTGACCACAAATGGTTCGTCAGAAGCAATCGCCAAAAGATCCTCTCCTGCAAAATTTAATTCGAGTCAACATAATAAAATTGATAGAATAAATCATGAACTTCTTCTTTTCAAATTGGTAGGTCACACAACATTACCGATTGCAGCAAGTTTCTGCTTCTTCTTTTCAAACTTCTCCGGTAGGAAAAAGGACACCCATTTTAACCATAGCTTTAAGCACCTGTAGGAATACAAGATTTGACACTTCCCAGAAGGTCATAGGGTATAGATTATCATCGGCTGGCTCAGGGAAAGGAGAAGGAAGAACCTGCAGGTGGCGACGAGGAGTACAGAGATCCGGCGAGGGCGCCAATGCACGGCATGGGACGGGCCGGCGACCTGATGAGGGTCCCCGCCGCAAGGCCTAGGCCGGGGCGGCGAGCAGGACTCCCGAAACCCTAATTTGCTCATCAAAACTTTTTCCTCAAATTTGGAGCCCTAAATCCCGAACTGAGGCATAAATTCGCGATTAGTACCTACTCTGGCATCAGTG